AAGAAAGAAAGAAAGAAAGAAAGAAAGAAAGAAAGAAAGAAAGAAAGGAAGGAAGGAAGGAAGAGAGATTGAGAGGGGGAGAGAGAGAGAAGGAGGGAGGGAGGGAGAAAGAGAGAAAGAGAGAACGAGAGAAAAAAGAAAGAGAGAGAGAGATGCCCCAGGCTGGAGCTGGGGTAAAAAGTGACCTTGTAGGCTCTTCTAAAGAAGTTACTAAGAAGAACTAATAACATCTTGATACAATATTTTAAAATATCAATATTAACACAAAATGATCAGTGTTGTGCTACATATCCAGGCCTGTCCTTGAGTGGCCCATTCTCACACACCGCTCACCCCGACTCCTGGATGAGAGGTCTCAAGGTGACAAAGAAAATCCATGAGGTGTAGACTCTGAGTAGAGGTGCAGGGCGGACAAGAATCAGAGTCACAGAAAGGGGACAGAATGGCCAGAAGATGAGGTCTCCTGAGACAGAAAGGTACTGGCTCTTCTCCCTGACTTCACTCCAGTCCTTTCCCTCTAACAAGCTGCACCCCTCAAGTCCCTGAACGAGGCCCAGCACCCCTCTAGCCTCTTCAGACTCCCCAACTCTAATCTATTCTAAACCTTTTCATCGGGGATAGATAAGAACTTCAGGACAGCTGTAGCTAACCCTCGCTGCCTCGGGAAAGCAACCAGGGGCTTGGTGACTCGCTGACAGTGGATAGTGGATAAGGAGAACATTCTTAACCCACTGACAGCAACTCCCTTTTAAGGCAAGTCCTGAGGCCGCACTAATGAGTCTCCTCCTGCCCCTAGGGGAATGGCATTTCGTTTTTCAGGGTGTGGGCTTTGGGGTCAGACTGGCAAGGCTTCAGATCCAGCTTTGTCATCTACCATGTGAATCTAGGAGATTTGCTAAGATGATCTGCACCAGCTCTGGCTCCTGGGGGTCTGAAGTAACTTAAATGACTTACATGATGGGATGCAGGCTGAGAAAGAAGCCACGGTCCTCACTAGCACTGCTGGCCCAGGAGGGACGAGGGCCAAGAGTTCAAGTGCATCCTCGGATGGATCAAATTCAAGGGCAGCCTGGGCTTCAGGAAACCCTGTCTCAATAATCTTTTTTGTTTAGTGGTGCACAACTGTAATCCCAGCACTTGGAAGGGCGTGATGGAAGTGTCTGAATTTCAAGGTCATCCTTAGCTACATAGCAAGTTCAAGGCTAGCTTGGGTTACAAGAAATCCTCTCCCCCCCCCCAAAAAAAAAAGCAAAAACAAAAACAAATATACTCGCCAGATCTGCTAGCTTTTCAAAAGGAAAAAAAATGTCATATGAAATCTGATTTTTTTTTAAATGTTACCAATCAATTTCAAATTTCTTAAAACTTAACCCAGTAGAGACAAACACAACAGGGCACTGTGCCATAGCCCGCCTACAGAGCAAGTGTGAACCTGCTACCTACAGGCCACCCATGTGTCAGCAAGACTGATGGTCAGAAAGCCTACCCCAGCACCCTCAGCATCCTTCTCCACAGGACAACTTGGCCAGGGATGCTTCTCCTCGGGAGGGAGAGGAAGATAAGAACTGGAGATCTGGCAGGCGGCACAGGAGAGGGGAGCTGCAGAGGGAATCCTTAAAAGGATTTAGAAGGATTTTACTGGACATGATGAAGCACAGAGGGGAATAAGGTCATAAATTCAGCCCTGAGAACAGCCTGGGTCTGAGACTATGTAGGGGTCGGGGTAGAGGGTGAGGGAGGACGGAGTCTTTGCCCCTGCTGTGCTAGGCTTTCTGCAGGTCACCCCAGCACCAGACTCAGGTGCCCGGTGTTCCAATAGACCCAGTCCCTGGTTCTAAACAAAAAGTATCTAGGCTGGCTTGGGCTTCACAGCCCATCTAAGTATCTGTCTGGTGAGCTCCGAAGCCAGTTGGAGATGGGATAAATTGATGTCTTCAAAAAGCCCAGACCAGGGAACTTGCTAGAGGGTCACAAGTATGATCCAGTGGGTTTGAAGAATTCTCCAGAGGACTCAGACCATAGTAAGGCTTTGAGAACTTCTGTTCCTATCCTGGTCCTGTGGTCCTCTGTGGGGACAGCAGTTGACTTGCTGGTCATAGGACAGTGCTGGGTCATTCCAACAGTCACTGAAGAGGGTACTCCTAAGTTTCTCCATGTGGAAACTGCCGGTCAGAAGTAAGCTCTGGTACAGCCCAAGGCTCAGAAGAAAGCAAGAAAGATGGATGCACAGGTCCTTCTGTTCGAAAAGGAAGGGGCCTGATAGAGCACCGAGGACCAGCCGTGTTTTCAACATGGAACCCAGGACCACTGGCCACCAGAGTCCACTGGAAACCCTTACACCGAACTGTTCCTCTGGTAAGCTCCCTCTGGGTCTCTCTGCATCTCAGAAACCTTTGTTTTGTCTCTTGGTGGGGTCTCTTTGCAAAGCTTCCAAAGATGTGGTCCTCTCAGCTCCTAGCCCTCCTCTTTGTTCCATCTAAAGAGCCTCCCCCACCTCCCCATATACCTGCACTTCTCGGCCCTGTTTCTCCCCATGTAGACTCTGCAGAAGCAGGAGTTCTTGGGGCAGGCCCTCAGCTGACTCTCTGACTCTACCATCTGTCTGTGCCACCCACGTACTGAGTGAGCCCAAAGCTCACATCCCCCGGCCAAGCCTAACCATCTCTGCAAAGAAGCCTCAGGCATAGGAGCCACACTCGCTCCTGAGCCTGGTCCCTGAGTCCCTCATGTTTCCCTGATGGAAGAGAAAGGACAGTACCAATCATATGTCCCAAGAAAGTTACTCACAAGCCTCTGTCACACAGCTCTCCCACCTAATCCCAAAGCCTGGGGCAACTTCCGTCAACTGAGAGGTCTCCAGAGTCCAACTCGCCCTCCCCAGGCTGCCAAGTACCAAACCCAGAGACTGCCAGACCGGGTCCCACCCGGGACAGTGAGCAACTACAGCATAGGGGTCACTCTGGGGTACCGGGCGCTCATTCTTTGGCTTGATGACACCTCAAAAGTGGTGAAGACCCTGGACCGCAGGGGCAGGTAGGGCCCAAGGCCACCAATGGAGAAGGCACATGTACGGCTGGTGTGGCCCCCTAGAAGATGTTTCATTGGCGAGCCCGTGGGGCTCCCGGGCTGTCATACATGAAGTGCCCTCCGGACGTGACATTTGCAGTGCCTGTGACAGTTCAGCGAGGGTCCACGACCTCGCATGAGGTTGGACCTTCTAAGGACAGGAGACAGGTCGTGTGACATTCCCACGATAGGGACTCACGTGGGGAATGAGGCTCGGGTCCTGGTACTCGCTGAGCCTAGGGCAGAAGAGCAGCAGGAACGTCCCACGACCGCTGCGAAAACTGGAGAGGTGGCTGCACCCCGGGCCAAGAGCCCTGGGAGGAGCAGCGCTGGGACTTAAAAGGTCACCGAGGGAAGGCAGGGGCCTGCAGGGCGCAGGAGGTGACTAAGGGAGGAGGAAATGGCTATGGGCGGGATGAGGAGAGTGCGGCGCTGCATTCCGCTAGGACCCAGCGTCCCAGAGGACTCTGGGCCGGGTCAGGGTGCGTGGCATCGCAGTGGCGGGTCCCGCGGTGGCTCCATCCTCCCGCCCCCCACCCTCGCCGCCCGCCCCTCTCCCCGCCCCGCGCGCAGTCCCCTCCCTCCGTCCCGCCTCCTGCCCGGCCACCTCCCTCAGCTGCTGCCGCGCCGCGTTGCCGGCGCACTTGCAGCCCGGCGGACACCAGGAGGCGGAGGCGGGACGGTCAGGGGTCCGAGTGCGCAGGACAGCGGCCCCGGGGCCAAAGTTTGCCAGCAGCCCCGGCAGGCCAAGCGGGTCCCACGCGCCGCTTGCTGCCCCCTCTCGCATCCTCACCCCGGCATCGCTGCGCCGGGGGACAGAGCTGCGGCCCGACTAGCTCCGAGGCGGGGACGCCGCGACGGGAACTTAAGGTGGGAACTTCGCGGGCTGCAGCCTGGAGGGACCCTGCTCCTGCAAGCGGCGCTTCGGGCTCTGCACGTGGCCGCGGTCCCGGTGCCCCCTGCGGATACCTGGGAGCCCCGGAGAGGCCGCCGGGGCGATGCGGGATGCACCCACGCGGCCACAATTTGGTCCGGCCGCGGATCCTCTCGAGGGGTCCCCGGAATGTGAAGTGCGCTCTGACTTTGCATGCAGGGTTTTTAGGGTCCCCTGGGAGGAGTTGGAATGCAGGGGAGTCTTTCACTTGCTGGTTCAATGTCAATAGGCACGGAAGGCAGCACCCCCCACACACACACCCCAGCGGGCCTCGTTAAGTCATTCATTAATTACGAACTCAGTGAGGGCTTACTGACGGCCTACTGTGTGCAAGGCCCTAGAGACAATTCAATGGTCGCGGGCCTTAGCATTTAGTAGGAAAGTTAGAGGTCTCCTTAACCTCAGTGGACCCGTAATGAGCGGCCCGGCTTTGCTCCCAGTTTTTGGGTGTGGATGGAAAAGAGACGAATTCGTTCCTTCTCTGAGTTGTACAAAAATTGGTTGAGCACCTGCTGTGAGCATCTTACTATACCAAATACTCAGTATTCATCCATCCATTTATTCAACAAGCCTGGACTGAACAATGGCCTTTGTGGAGACAGGATAAGATGCGGGAAGAGGTTGAGACTCAGGCCCTGCCTCAGAAGGTCACGGCCTGCCAGGGTGGCCAGCAGCTACAGCACAGGTGTATAGCAGATTTAAGGTTGGCACATAATGCATTCATTCCTAAAGGGGGTTGATCCTTGGAAAGGAAGAAGTGGGCTTTTAAAAGCTCTTTAGTGTGTGTGTGTGTGGGGGGGGTGATGGGGGCTGAGAAGGTGTATCTTGTGCTAGGTGAACACAGCCACCTAGTGATGGGGTTTATAAGCTAAGCTGTCACTTCGGCACACATTTTGTTAACCACGTGCAATTCGGAGGTACTTATGGGGTGCTAAACACCTGAGTTCCCCCAAGTGGATAATAGGTGGAAGGTAATCGCATGTTCACCCCTCTTTGGTGACACCTGAGCTAAGCACACAGGAAGATGAGAGGAGGGGGGCGGGGACTGATCTGATTCACTGGAGAAGGGAGGACTCACTGGGCTCTGTAAATCTGGGTAGATGTTCGATGGGGTCTCTTTGGTACCCCACCCCAACCCCTGAGCATACACACACACACACACACACACACACACACACACACACACAAATGATGGTACTCCGAGTCACTGCCTTTTCAATAAACACACTGCCAGGTTAAGTGGCACCCCTGGAGATTAAGGCAGTGGGGTGTGCACACTGTGGGTTTTTTACCTGTGGGTCTTTAAGCTTTTGCAGCTTTGCAGAGGCACCTGCTGTGGGGGGAGGGGAGGGAAACGAGGTTAGGCATGGAGGCTTGGCCCCAAGGGATCGCTCCTACCAGCCCAGCTCTGAGCCAACCCATTCCAGTGGAAAAACGTCTGCCGTGGGACACACTCCAAACCCACAGGGAACAAGTGCACTGAAAACAAGTCACCCTGGGCCTCTTCCCAGAGCTGGAGGACCCGGGCTGTGGGTGTCCCGCAGCCTGATGAGGTAGACTCCGGGGGGAGTTGAGTTCTGTGCACTTGGGTTGGCATGGGACTCTGGCAAGAGGTGAGCCATCTGCCCCAGGGACAGAAAGACAGAGATGCTTCCTGAACACAGAGGCTCACAGGGGCTGCCCTCTGAGAATCCACTCTGGGTTGGTTGCCTAAACCCAGCAGAAGAGAGCCCCCCTCCTCCACCCCTACCCATGGCTGGTGATACCACCTAAATAGAATTAATGAAAACAGAAGGGGTGGAGGAGGCTGCCAAGCCTTGGTATTTTTACCTGCCAGACTGTCCTTAATGAACAAAGTCAGCGTATGAATCTGCCACAGGATCTGAACTATCTGAAGTTATCCCTGCCTCAGGCCAGCACCTGGCCCAGCAGACAACAGGCTTAGCTTCCCCCCCTTCCTCCCGAGCCCTGTGAGCTGTCTCCAGGTCCCCATCTCTCCTCTCTGTTAGTCTATGTTCCCCGCTAGGTCAATAAGCAAGCCGGAGGACCTGAATTTGATTCCCAGTACCAAAATCAACAAGGACAACAACAGACCAGGCATGGGATCCCAGGGCTGGGGAGGCGGGGCTTGATTACATGTGATCCCTGGGGCTCAGTTATCTGCCAGCCCAGAGACAGGCCCTGCCTCAAAAACAAGTGGACAAAAACAACAGCCGAAACACACACACACACATGCACACGTGCACACGCACACGCACATGCGCACACACACACGAGGAGAAAGGCTAACACAGAAGATTCTCTGGTTACAGTTTTTAAAAGCTCCTGGTAGAGTCACAGCGTGTGCCAGGAGCCATTTTGCCAGCAGCAGAGCCAGGTAGCCAAACAGACAGCCTGCCTATTTGATACATTTTTCCTCAGTTTGGTTCAGGTGGGGCATGACGACAGGAGCCCACCTCCCAGCATCGAATTCCCTGGGAGACTTTGACTCCTGCTCTCAGGAGATGAGGCTGAGGCGTGTGGGAGTGATGGATGGCAAGTGGCAAAGACAGACTTCCACAGGCAGCAATCCTGAGGGGAGGGGGCAGCATGCAAGGCGCTGGGCAGCCTAATAGCTGGATCTATTATAATTAGCGATTTAATTGGGGGGGGTGAATGCAGAGAGGCCAGCCTCGGAGTCAACCCAGTCAGGAGCCCTAATCCTGACAGATGAGGCTCACAGGAGAGACAAGAACCACGTGGGGCCTGGGAACAGAAGGAAGGGAGCCTCAGGTCCCGGAATCCAAGCCAGGGATGGTAATCCAAGGGCCAAACCCCGACACCAGAAGCTTAACAACGACTCTAACTTCTAGAAATCTGCCTAGGCTGTTATGTTAGACTGCCGCCTTTCATACACAGTGTCCATCAACATCTCCGGGTTTGAGGAGATAAGAACTCCAAATCTTGTCTTGCCCTGTAACTTTTTCTGGGGAGAATTCACCCCCCCCCCACCTCCTCCAGTGCCCAGAGGCCTCCTGAATTCCTTGGCTCGTGGCCGGGCCTCGCTGTAACCCCTGTGACCATAGTCATTTCTCTGGAAAGCACAGTGATGACCCAGAACTCAACAAAAGCAGGGACTCTGTTGCTTTCCTACCCTGATCTAACGCAAATATGAAGATGATGCTGTTTCCCCGGCCTGCGTAGTCACCTGCTTCTCCCAACCCCCAGGACTCCCCAAAAGCTTGTCTGAAGACACAGATAAGATCCAGTTCTTCTCAGAAATGACATCTGTCCCAATCCCCACCGTGACAGTAGAATGCAGGGAACCCGCAGACTATCACAGCCCCTTACTTCCAGTCATGAATGCTTGTTTCACTGAGCCTCAGTTTCCCCATATTGCCTTTTAGGAAAGAATGTTAGGGCCCCAGAATCACACCTTGGTGCTTACTGAGTGTGCCATGGGGGGTGGAGTGCAAGGGGTGTCTAAAGACTCACTGTTTATGGACAGGTGAGGTTTCACGTTCATTTCTTCATCCCATCTACCCTGAAAAGAGATGTCAAGAGAATCTCCAAAGGGATGAGCTAATACAGCAGAAGTCAGGCCAGCAGCCCCTGGACAGGCCCTGGGAGGGACCTTAGGGGTCAGAGTCAACCCACAGAAGTTCATCGAACCCCTTCATGTGAGGACCGTGGGGATGGAGATCAGATGATGTCACTGAAGGCTACATAAACCTCTACTCACGGGCCCTCAGAGCAGCTCTGCAAGGGACACTATTGCTCTCATTTAAGGGGCAGGAAAAGGCTCTAAGAGTCCAGTGCTCTGTGGGGCAGACGGCTGGCTTGAGTACAGGGTCCTTCACAGGAGCAGTGGCCATAGTTAGCCACGTAACTACTCCCTTGCCAGATCCAGACCCTACCGACCCCTTGCGCTCACACCCCCTAAGCCCATGATGGACCCAGTGGTATTTAGACATCTCCCTCTGAATGAACGTTTATCTTTGGAAATGTTTGCTGGGTTTCAGTTACAGCTCCTGAGTGTTATTTTTCTTCCAGGAGGAAGGATGAGAAACAGCCTCAGGGTTGCCGTGGGTCTCTGGACTCCTGGAGGAGAATGGGATGGAGGCAACCCCAAGGGAGATGAGTGCCTGACAGAAAGCGCAGGGGGGCGGGGCATTCTCCCATTCTGCAGTGAAGCCTTAAGATACCATGATGAGTGGCCAGACAGGAGGCTCCTTGCAGCCCTGGGCTCTCCCAGCATGTATGGAACCCTGCCTCCTATTCTTTGGGACTTTTAACATGATGCTTGTTGCTGAAGGAGAAGGCAGGCTGGTTCCAGGGCCGAGGGAATCTCAGAGGAGAGACACCAGGAGCTGGTATCTCTGCTGAGCCCCCACCCAAGACAATTCCCAAGCCGGAAGCTTTATAGCAGCTTGTGCTTTCTGTTCGTCTGTTGTTAACCTAGACCAGCTCAAGTTGTAGGACCCATGTGTTCACCCCTAACAGGCTTCCTCCTTGACCAGAGCTGGGCTGTCTTGTCTCTCCAGTTTTTCTCCGCTCTTCCAGTTCCCAGGCGTGGTCTCCTCCCCACCTCCCTCCAGCAGGCTCCATGTTACACACAGATCCTTCTATGTGTTTGAGTCCTAGTCGAGAGTAATGTGTTCATTTACATAAATAGCACGGTGCTGTAAACTTCTGTTGCTTTTCCCACTTGGCATGTGCTTTAAAGACCCAATTGTTTCTCTGATCCCACACAGACCTTGCATCTTCTGACTCTTTCTCTAGCAAGATTCACCAAACCAGTCCCTGGGGATGGATGCTGGCAACCTCCCACTGCCTCAAGTAAAGGGGGTGACATTCTTGTATCTTGGTCATCCCTGAGATCAAATTCCCATGAAGCAGAAGATTTAAAGGGGATCATTTGTCATGTTGGTGTCTGCCATCACCTCTGTGGTCCTGG